AATATTCGCACATGAGTGAATTGTCTTCATGTGAACTGTGTCTCTGAACACCAATCGAGAGAGCTAATCCGTGCAGTCAGTAAAGGAAGGTGTTCTAAGTTTGCATTTATGGCCATTCCCAAGGTTAGTTAGGGAAAATCTTTCCTGTTTGTTTCATCAGGAGGCAAGATTGTTTAGGATTGAGCTAGGAGGCAACCTCAGAAAGATCACTACAGTTTGGTTTTATACTCTTTCTCAGGGCAATCCTCAGCTAATCATTCAGGTAACTGCCCGAGGCTGTCCCAGCAGCTCTCCTGAGAAATTAATTTGCAGAAAAATTTCCCCAGGAAAATCTTCTTGAGGGAATTACTACAGTCAACCTTCAGCCCAGTGAGTGCCACACTCTTCCACTCTTCTGTAGGCTCCATGACTCTGTGCATGAAGTCTGCAAATTAGAATTCCTTGTCAATTAAATTGCATTTTTTCAATGTGTCAGACCTTTACCTGATGATTCAGTGTATTTTTGAGGAGCCAAAGGGATCCATGTCATTGCGATTATAAGGCTAATTTTAATGACTGCAGATTTTAAAAACTGGATGTCAAAATGGGTAAAAAAAAAGGCATCCTAAAATTAATATTGAGTTAGTATTTTTTTCCGAGTGGCATTTCCTAAAGCAAGAAAAAATTATTGGGCAGTGAAAGGTCAATGAGTTTAAATTAATCTAAAGCTTTTTTCTATTTCATTGTGCCTTTGCAGACTTCTGTAAGGCATTACATAAATATTTGGACCCTACCTCCATCTGAGTCCAGCATTTGGATGAACACCTTCAAGCTTCTGAGAAGTCTTGCAATTCTGTATATAATGGTGTCATTGTATAAAATAAGTGTGCATGTCTGCATTTAGTCTTAGCAGTCTACTAAAATTTAAACCCTATTCCTCTGCTTAAAAATTAGCCAGCCAGAGGTCAGCTTTCTCCCAGAATAGGTTCCTGTAACTGCCAGCAGTATTTCCTACTCAGTCCTCTTTAAATTGTTCGATGCTTCTGTTAATCACACTCTGTCTATGGAGACGGTGCATTTTGCTGGACAGGCAGTCTGTTTCCTCTGGAAGTGAGAGGATCAGCATCAGTGGTTGTCACTTAAAGAAACCTTCAGCTCTTTAGTATTTTGCAGTTGAACACAGATATTTATATACTTTTATTCACTCAGAAGAACGTGAGGTTGCTGCAGATTTTCATACGTTATCACCCTTAATCTCTTAATCTATACACTTTAAAGTTTCCCTATCTGTTGCTGTAAATCCTGTGGAATCTGTTGGAGTCAAACCTAACCTGAACTTGTTTAAATAGGTTGTTTTTATGAATTGGAATTTAACCTGAAGTATTCATCTCATCTCTATTGGTCCTAAACCAGCCTGACTAAATATTTATTTTCAGCCATTGCCTTAGAATAAACATTGGTCTAAAACCTGATATCCTCTAATGAGAACCTGTTGAGCAATGTTTCTTTTCTAGGCTGGCTAAGGAGAGCTGTAACTAAAACACAGTTTCCTGGAGATGCCAGTTTTATTTTAATACCTATTCTGATGGCAACAGTTGACTATTATAACCAACAGCGTGCTATGAGTACCAGCAGGGCAAGGCAGCCTGTCTTCATCAGTTGTTACTAGAAATGTATTAATTATGTATTCTTTGTGTTAAAGTGCTTGGGAATTGATTGATGGTGAGGGAGGAAATGAGCTAATGGTGCTCTTGCTCCTCCTTCCAGTAATCCCCATCTCTCCTCATAAAACTCTTCAACCCCTTATGTTCCCTGTGCAGCACAATAGCACATTTTCTCACTTAGTCTTTCAATACCCAATGGAGATTTAGGAAGTTAGAGAAAAGGTGCAAGCCCAAGTTGTGCGCAGAATCTGGCAGAGGTGCTGGAAATATTTGAAAAATCCAGCTGAAGAACCACCTTGGTGAGATGAGCCTTCATTTTAATTTTTTTCTTTATTCATATGAACAGTTTAATTAACTGGTTTTGTTCTGAACAAGAAACTGAAGTGGAACAATTTCACTTGGAGATGAATCTGAATCAGAACTGATTTGAAAAATGTGGAGCTTCTTGTTCCACATTTGTACCACTTAATCTTTGTACCACTCTGTGGGAGAAACACAGCTTTGGTGGTCTTAGACTTTTGAGAAAAAAGAAGGATTTCTTCCTGTTTTGGAGATGAAATAGAGTGTGATGTGAGGAGCTGCATAATCTCTAAATAATGCATCTGGGGTTCCTTTGCCCCACAGGTTCATGGAACTGCAGTACACATGGAAAACGTTCTACAGTATAGAAATACTGTGTGATTTAATTCAAGATTTCAGCATCATGCGAATATCCAAAGAACAGAGTTGAGGCTATATGTGTAACCTTTACTTCACCATTTCCTGCAGTTAGAAGTTTAGTTTTATAATTTCAGCCATATGTATTGTTGCCATTTTTTTCCTACTGATATTTCAAATAGCTTTACTAAAAAGAAAAAGTCCCAGGCACTACAAACCTTTAGCACAGATCTGTGCATGGATCACAATTCTTTTAGTCAGTAAAACTTGGAAAGGCAACCACTTGTAGAAATAAAAACAGAGTTGATAAGAACAGGAAGGCAAACAGACCAAATTCCTATCCTTCAGTTATTTACCAGCACAAATGAATGGAGTTAGTGAAACTAAAGAGAGCAAAAAGCAAAGGAGGATCAATGTTAGCTGCATATCTCCCATGGCTGGCTGTAAGCAATGTTGCAGTATTTTTTAAAAAGGAAATTGAACAATACTTATTACATTTAACTGCAATCAATATGCTACTTGAAGAAACTGAAAGCCATTCATCTGTGCCAGTGCAGACCAGTGTCCTTGAAAGTATTCATGCTCACAAGTGGAGACTCCAAAACTGCCTAGAAAATTTTGTGGACCAGGGTGGAGTGAAGTGTGCTGTAAGTTGTGGTGTCAGCGCAGTGAATGCATCATAGCACATGACCAGGAGCTAGCGTTGTATGCAGAAATCCTTACTGGGTCTATTTCTGTTCAACATCTTTGTTAAATGTCTGGATGATTGGGCAGAGTGTATACTCAGCAACTTTGCTGATGACAGAAAACTGGGAAGAGTGGCTGATACAGCAGAGGATCATCCTATCACCTGGAAGGATCTCAGCAGACTGGAGTTGAGGATTGACAAGGACCTCATGCAATTCATCATGGGGAAGGGCAAAGTCCTGCACCTGGGAAGGAATAGCCTCAGGCACCAGCACATGCTGGAGGCCAGTGGCTGGAAAACAGCTTTGCAGAAAAGGGTCTAGGACAGCTATTTGACCATCAGGCAGCAGTCTGCCCTTGTGGCACACCTGGAGTACTGTGTCCAGTTCTGTACTCTCGAGTGCAGGAGGGAATGTGGAGAACATCCATAGGTGGGAGCAGGCAATAAGGTGATTAAGAGTCTGAACATTCCTTATATGAGGAAATGCTGAAATAACTGTGGCTGTTTAGCCTGGAGAAGCTTCTTAGGGGCCAGAGGGATGTCATCAAAATGTAAGAATAGCTGAGGGGAGGTTGTAAAGAAGACAAAGTCCCTTTTCAGTGGTGCCTAGTGACAGAGCAGGAGGCCATGGGCACAAATTGAAACATGGCACATTCCTTCTGAGCATTAGGAAACACTTTTACTTTGTGGGTAACCAAGCACTGGCACAGGTTCCCCAGAGAAGCTGTGGAAGTCTTTATCCTTGGAGGTATTCAAAAACTTTCTGGATGCAATTCTAGGCAACCAACTGTAGATGACCCTGCTTAAGCAGGGAGGTTGGACCAGATGACCTCCAAAGCTCCCTGTAGCTCTGTAATCGTGCTTTGTAGCTAAAATATCACATTAAATTTTGTTGTGGACTTTTACCAAGGCCCAGACTTGGGTAATCCATCTACTGTGGATACTTGTTCATGGCTGTAGCAGTCCAAAGCAGATAGAGGTGCCAAGCATATCAGTCTTCAGGAGGGTTGTCTACAGAAGCCTACATGCTTCCATTCTGTTACCTCTCATGTATAAGTGGGTGATAATAGAAAATACATACTGGCATTTCTAAATAAATGTAGCAGCGAAATTCCCAGAAATAAGCAGAAAATTTTCCTTTTTTAATACAAAATGTGTTACATGCTTTATTTCTGAAGATAGTGGTTTTTTGCTATATATGAAAGTGTCTCTTTGGTAATATAGTACTACTTTATTATCTAACAGTTTTACATAGTTCAGACCTTAATGGTGTTCTGTGCTGTATGATAACTCTAATGGAAATATGGTTCAAAGGCAACCCCTTTCTTAGCACTGAGGACTCTGATACTACAAAACCTGGCTATATCCCACTCTTCACTAGGTCTCTGTGCTGCTCCAGTTGTTTCCCTGAATCTCTGTCTGGAGTGATGATAGGGGTGAATTTGCATGTGTGATGAAAGCACCTGAGGACAGTGCTGTGCAGGCCAGTAAGTATGCTATTTGGGAGGATTTGTGAGTCTGAAAACCACAGAATATGCAGAGTTCAGTCAAAACACAGGCTGCAGTGGCTGATCATTTTACATCTTTTTTTCTATATTCTATTTAAAGCTTGTTGTCCAGGGTAAGGATCTGTAGTAAAGGTCAAGTGGGATAGCCGTTGGCACAGTATGTTAAGAAAAGAGAAGGCTTCTACTTTAAGTATGCTATTATCCTCTGATGAAGATACAAGAATTTGTGAGTTTGTTTGCCTAGAACCAGTGACAGAAAAAGGTGTTATCAAAGTAAGCCTAGATTCTGAGCAGTATTTTTTAAAACCATTAATATAGCTTGTAAATAAAGTCATTCTCTATTAGACTGCTATGTGGAGCCTTACATGCCACTTTACTGTACAAATTAATAATAATTGAAGATGATATTCCAAAGCAATTTTTATTTCTATCAGCCTTTTAATTTATAATTTTAAGCACTGATATACTGTAAATGCTAAAAAATGCATGTATTCTCTTTCACAGCTGCAAAGGTTTTTTGAGATATTCTTCAGAAACAGTTCTCCCCAACAAGCCTTCAACAACATGAAGGAGGTTATAAACAAACTTCTACTTATAACTGAGGTCTTCAGCAAATCCTCTACCTCAGGACAAAATTCTTTCAATCAGTAAGTCACTTGCAATAGTCATTGTAATGCTAGTGTCAAGATAGCTCCTTAGAACAGAATAAAAATTGCAGAGGATACAAGAATCTTAAAATAAAAAATTCCCACCTATTTCATACTTCTCTATAAGGTGTGGACATGCTGCATTTAAGAAGTAGAACTCTTCAATATCCACAGTGTTTCTGAAAACACTAGTTTTCTAGTTTGTGAAAAGGTTATGATGAATACTTAGGACCAGCTGCTGTCCTAATGAACTGTTTCAGGCAGCACAAATGAACAGAAATCACTCACTACTGGGATAGTCCTAACATATATAAAGCTGTATTTCCTTTCAGTGAGCTTTCTGTCATATGTCAAATATTTAATACTAGAGTTGCCCAGATTGTTCTGAGCTGCCTCTGGCAGGCAATCTGAACAAGAGACGCTGTAAAACACTTTATGAAGTGTAGGCTATAAAATATACCTAGGCACCAACAGTCACATTTCTGTGTGTAATCATTACGATTAGTGTTATAATTCTTACACATAAATCCACCTCAATTATGTAATATTTTTACTAAATAAAATTAATATTTGTTCTATGTATGTTATGTCCCATCCCTGACATTTTTATGATAAGTACTAAATAAGTTGCTATTTATTAAATTTATGTGTTTAAGCTATTTGACAACCAGGTGTTTTAGTGGTAGTAATGTAAAACTCATTATTTGACTTACACAAGTTGGGAATAAAGCTTATATTGTGAGTGGTGAAGATAGCAAGGAGGAGAGGAGTGTAATGGAGATGAAGCTATTTTGACAGTGGTCCAAAATCTCTTTTTTACCATTGAAATGGACTGTCTTGTTTGTGTAACACAAGACTTGTGTATAACTCCTGGCCTATGGCTCCAAATATCCCCATAGCTGCAGCAGAGCTCTTTGACTTCAGTAAGCCTGGGATGTTTCACCATCTCTTCCCTTCCAAATGTCTTCAAAGCTTTGCAGGGCCTCATTCACTCTCTTCAAAAGGTATTTCTTCCTTTGGCGTAATTCACCACCCTCTCTGTCAATCATTAAAAACACTTTTATGTAGCACTATTTTCATCATCTTAGAATCTGACTCCTTCCATATTTAATACTGCTGGCTCTTAGAAATTTATTTAGTCTGAATCACATGCTGTTTCTTGACATGTGTGTGTAAGTTTTCCTGCATGTGTTCTCTGGACCTGTGTGTGTATTGAATCTTACTGTGTATAGGGACATGGTTCACTAGTGGACTTGGCAGTGCTAGGTTTATGATTGGAAGCAATGATCTTAAAGGTTTTTTCCAACCTAAATTATTCTATGATTCTATATTTCACAACAGTACCTAACCTCACAAAAACTGATTTATTTTATATTGTATTTTTCAGATGCAGCCAGTGTTTTCAAATGCTAACCTTTGACATTGGATTTGGCATGTCCATACACCCAGTAGTTCTAAAGGTGAGAAAATCGCACAAATTATTGCTTGACTCAAAAAATTTACACCAAGAAGAACACAGCAGAAAACCCTCTTTGACAGGTACTCTCAAATGTCTAAGAAATGTACCAATACTTTAATATTATTTATGGCTGATTGTGGAGAGTTTCTGTAGAAGAAACTAGTTTTTAAGAGTCAGAGCTCCTGTGATGAAATTCATCAGACTATCAAAATGTGCAAACTTTTAAGTTTACATTAAAAGACTATTACCCCAAATGATTATCAGTGAAACAAAATCCATAGGAGGCATTGCATGAAAGTGGAGTTAGGTTTCAAATGTGACAGAACAAAGATGAATGGAGAAAGTTAAAAAACCACAATTGGCTTCTAATACTAACTGAATTTCTCCATAAATTGGATTGTACTTCTTCATTTCACTACCTGCTTTGACCTCCACTGTGCTGTCTTCTTCCTGGATGATCCAGGCCCTTAAAATCATGGAAATGACACCTGTGCCAGGTTTTGTACAACTCCTGCCTCAGAACAACCTGTCCTGAAACAATTATTGTGCTGCTTTCCAGCAGTTCTCATTACCTCATGTATACATATGAATATGCATATGCCTATGTATGTAAAATGTTTCTTTATATTCATGATATATAAACATTAAGAAAAATTAGTTAATATACCCCACTTAAAATCTGTTCAAGTGACTAGTAATAACAGTGCAGTCAATCTCTGCATTCTTCAGAAAAAAAGATCCTTTAAACACACTGGAAAAATGCACATAAGAAAGGAAATTTGCAGAATTTAAAAAATCCATTAAGACAATATTTTTAATTAGTCTGGGAAGTTAGCTAGTGTAAGAAGTGTGGTATGTCATAACAATTCAGTAATTGTATACCACGCTGTAAAAAAGTTATCCCAGAAGAGCTTAAAAAAACTAAACAGAAAACATAATGTTTACCTTCCTGTATAGAAATTTCAACCGTTATCCGTTATACATAAATTTATAGTAAATCGGTAGGATTTAGTAGTTTCTTCTGAAAAAACAAATGGCTCTAGAAAATAGCTGTTGATAATTAATGCAGCATTGACTTTGAATATTATAACTTGGAAATTATATTATGCACACAACCTATTCATATTGATTCTACATTTGTGTTTATGCTAAATAATGATTTAGTCGTATTTCATAACCATGAAATTGTTCATTGTGTTTATATATTGTAAAACTTATACTTTCATCCATAGTAACAGATGTTCTGTAATAACCCTTAGCACATGAGTTTTGCAAGAGTTATGTTAACATGTAATCTGACATTTTATATTTTTAATCAAATTTAAAATCAAATACTTAAAAAAAAGCTTTTCACATGTGTCTGCAATTCTGCACTTTGTCCACTGGGGGACAGCAAACATTGTGTTATGCAGCTGTGACAGAAAATGTGGCACAGCATTTGCTGGTTTATAATCCTGTCAGTTTCTGTTGATATTACCTTCTTTTTTAAAGTTCCAGTTTAGTTCCAGTTCCATTATATTGCTATGAGAAGACTGAACTATTCAAACTATAAATTTTTATAATTTTTTCCAACAGGTACATGAAAACTTTGACTTTCAAATTGAGAATGAATTGACTATTCAGGACCAAATTTCCAAAGAACTTCTTTTTGAAGATACATTTAAATTTCTCTTATCTAATGAATCCTCAACATCTAGTTTCATAGAAGCTTTGCAAAAAATATATGGATCATCTGTGAGCAAGGTAGTTAATTCCAACTTTTTCTTATTATTATTTGAAAATGTTTAATTTTAAATTGTATGCTTCTGAAATTCTTGGTGCCAATTTATAGAATGAAGGATTTATTTAATCAAAACCACCTTTTATTGTATTCTGGGGAAAAAAACTAATTGAATTGAACAACTGAATTTTCTTTTGCAAAAATTCTACTCTCAAATGATGTCATTTCCCAAAATACTGTGCTTGAAAGATATATTTAAAGCTTTAAAAAGTAATTTTCTCACTATTTTTTAAAATGGTCTTTTTTTAAATGTACATATTTATGTGTTTTCACAATTTCATCCAGAAGTGGTTAACTCATGCATGGAGCATCAGAATTAAATTTTGTTTCTTACAACTTTGTGTCCTATTCTCAGTGAAAGATCCAGTTCCAGTTTATTTGTTGGGGCTTTTTTTTTGCATTTATATTTTGCATAAATTTTACTTCACCAGTGAAAACCATTTCTGACAAGCTGAGATGTCTTTTAGCAGTATTTCTCTCAGTCTGGGAACTTTTAAGGATGTATTTCTGAGGAGTGCCCTGCTTGAAAGACTTACAGAGACTAAATTATCCAGGCAACTTCCACCTCTTGGACAGATGTGGCTAAAACGGGGTCATGGGTTCTAAATTTATGTCAGGATAAAGTAGAAAGGTGCACACATCCAGACATGCAGTGATACAATTACCCAGCCCGTGTTCCAGAGAGCAGTAGTTTCTATGGGTTCTTTTCTACACAAAGCTAGGGCACAGCCTGCTTTATTCTAGACTGAAAAATCGGATGAGTTATCAAGGAGGTGGGTGGCTGAGGTTAGGGCTAGTTGAGAACTGCTGAAGCTTGTTCCTATGATCAGTGAAGGGACTGGAGTCTAATGAAAGCACATTGCTTTCCATGTGATTTCACTAGAACATGCTGCCCTTTCCTTCACAGGACAGAACATACAGCAGAGAAGATGAGCAATGTTTCTCTTTGGAAGAGATAAATTCTATGATTACTTTTATAAAGGAGCTGAAGAGTCTTGGACAATTTGAGCTGGTAAAACAAATATGTTTTGTTTTATTTGATATATATTTTATGTAAATCTCTTAACATTGCCATCCTTTGCTGCCTCTGGCATATATAATTAGATATAATTATATAATTAGACTGGATGGGCAGGGAAGAAAGTAGACAGAGATAACACTGATTTTACTTTGGTGGATCATTTGAATGTAATTTAAAATACATAAAGAAATACAACAGAGTATTTGAGCTGAGCTTCCACTGGAAAGGTCAGTTAAAGCAGAAACAGAGACCAGAAAACAGAAGGAAAGGAAAAGAAGGAAAACAATGTAAATTACTAATAAGGTGGTAAGAAAATAGAACTATGATGAAGCAAAGCAGGAGTGAGTTGAAGGACTAGAGAAAGTACTATACTGAGATCATGACCAGAGTAGATATAGATGAAAAAGTGTAAGTATATAGTATATAGGCAAAAAACCCAAACCAAACCAAAACAAAACAAAAAACAAAATAAACAAAAAACCCCAAAAAATTTAAAAAAAAAACCAGGTGGAATATGTTGTTTTCTTCTTCATGCTTTGAGTTCATTTTTGGAGAAGAACACACATGGAGGAATAACAATCAGTGTCTGTGAATAGGCACAGTTAATGAAAGAAATGGTGAGTATTCAGAAATAAAGGATGTGCAATTGAATCTGTTCTTCAAAAAGTGTGCATGATCTCAGGATTTATATGAAACTTCCTGGACGAGTATTAGGGATGGAGACTGATGACACTTTCTGAAGAAGCATTGAGTCTAATAGATCTGGAATCCATAGAATCATCTGTGTTGGAAGGGATCCAGAAGGATCATCAAGTCCAACTCTTAAGTGAATGGCCAATACAGGGATTGAACCTGTAACCTTGGCATTATTATCTTCACACTCTGACCAACTGAGGTAGTCTCAGGGACAGTTCAGAGGCAGAGGAGATCAACCTCCACATCGATACTTAATTTGCAAGACTGGGCATGACAGTCCTTTTCTAAACATGTGGGAAAGAGCATTCATATATGACCAGCCCTATGCTGTACATACTATCTTCTGATCATTTTTCACATCTTTGCACTCTACAAATATCATACTGTGTTGTCTCAAATCACTGTCTCTCTTCTCAGCTTTTCCCTTCATCTACACCCAAGATCCAAATGTTGCTGCGTGACCTTTATCGAATGGCAGACCCAATGAGGCAGCTTAGTTCTGTCCTGACTGTGCATTGGTTGCTTTCCAATGTCCTTCAACAGTTCCAGTTCATGAATAAAGAGACACATACAAATCTTTCTGAGTGGTAAGATAACTGTTATATCTGTTGAGCATAGTTTCTCAAGTTATATAATTGTAATATCTCCAGTGAGCTTTATCCTTCAGTAGATGCAGATGACTTGCAACCCTTGGGATGAAGGTCGATCATCCCACATGGAGCCCTGCCAGCCATTCTGCCATTAGAACTGTAGCTAGGTTTCTAAATTGAACAGGTTTTGTTTCTCTATCTAATACGAAGGACTCTGGGTTGAAAATTAATTGGAACTATTGTAAATTTTTAAAAGAAAGATTAATTAGGTACATTTTTTCCTGTAAACAACTGTAAACTCTAAATTAGAAGCATTTTCCAGGATTAAGACTGTCTTAATTTATGCAACTATTAAAAGCAAAACCCTAGAGAAAATATAAAATTTCAGGTGAAGATTTTTACAAAAGAATTAATAATTTTGATTTGCTTCAAATTTTCTGTCCAACAAAAGACAGGTCAGAGAGCATAATACTCTGAGAGCCTCGTTTTAACTCCTTTTGAAAAGATGGGAAAAATGCTGTAGTACTGATTATATAATGAATACAGAACTTTTGGCAAGAAGTTTTAATTTTCATGAGGAGAGAAAGAGGAAAGGAAAGACAGAACAAGGGAAGAAGAGAGTATGGGAGGAAGGAAGGAAGGAAGGAAGGAAGGAAGGAAGGAAGGAAGGAAGGAAGGAAGGAA